AGAGTGAGGTACCCGTGAGGATACATGTATATAGAGTGTAAGCTACCCACGAGGGTATATATAGAGAGAGTTTTAGGTACCCCCGAGGGTATATATATATATAGAGAGAGAGAGATACCCACGAGGGTATAAAGAGTGATGCTCACGACGATTTAGCCATAGTGATTGGTTCGTTTCTTATGTTTTAGGACCTTGATTCCGTTTTTGTATCGCGCTTCTTCAGTAACAAAGGGGTTTCACGGTGCCTTGTGTAAATAAAATTTTTGATCAGTGTTTTTTAGACGCAACTGCAGTGTTTTTTTTATGGATTTATAAGAATGCTTCGAAATAAAAATCAATCTGATCGTGCAAGATCCTATAGATCGCTCTTGCTGGACACTGATTGTAATTCTTGATGTAAGAAATCAGAGACTACGATTTTTCGTACGATTTTCCGTATGATCTTGTATGATCATACAAGATATTGATATAAGATCGGACACGAACATACAAGAATCTGAGTCTGATCTTAGCGTCTGATTTGTTGCCCTGGGAAGAACCGTATGGACATCCCTGAAGAAACACGTAAATATCTTCAATAAGTTAAATTCGATCCTCGAAAGCGTGGTGGTCCTTGGTATTGAAATGAAAAGAATAACAAGCATTATTACTTGCTAAAGTCATCCGCGTCTCTTTCCAGTCAGCCTCAAAAACATGTTGTTGAATTCATTCTATTCGGCAATTTTGAATTTCCAAATAACACACTGGGTATCAGCTTCGTAAACCATGGTAATCCAGGTTTGCCGATGACCGGCTATTTATGCAAAAAGTACTACAAGAACTGCTCAGAGCAGATGACGGCTCGTGAGGTACGCTTGCACTTCTATTTCACAATGGTTGGTAGACTCTACAAAACTTCATCGTGCTTCTTTGGGGACTAGGACGAAGAAAAAGAATGCCTCTACGTCGATTTTCTCCAGCTACTAAACGAACTAAAACCGACAGAGCACCCAATAGACGTTCCTAATGAGAACGGTCCAGACGAAAAATACATTGATGGATTCTGGTTTGGTCTGTCGCCTACACTCGCGGAGGGACAAAATGATATCGCTCAACTTTTTGCTCGCTATTTCACAAGGGCAAAACTTTGGGATCTATTTCGCCAAAAACTCTTTCTAACAGAAGTGCTTCCAGTTAACTACGAGCAAATCAATGCTTAAATAAGAACTGTTATGTGCATTGCGTAAGAGTGAATCCATGAAAAAGTCGGATGCCTGTGCCACACCATTGGCCGTTGACTATCTCTGAATTGTGTGATTTTTTGATACGTTGTGGAGGACAGTGAGTTGTATAGATGTGAGGCGCCAGTGTTGATGTGACTGAAGAGAAGATTTACACACGTCCTTACTATATACGATCTCTACAAAAATAGCCTTGTACCTAGTGTTGAACTGGAATGTTCCAAAGATCCTTCAAGTTGGTTTCTACAAGAAAATAACGATTCTAAACACAAATGTAGTTTGACGGTCGAGTGAGATCTTAAAAATCAGCTTTAAATTCTATCCTGACTCGCTTCGTTATTGGATCAAAAGCCAATCGAGAATGTCTGGTCGATTATGAAAGGAATTATAAGCAAAACGAAATTCGAACAAGAAATGAAAACGACGTCGAATAATCTATCAAGTAGTTTGGCTGAAACATTAGTTAATAGTATGAAAAGACATACGTCCCCTAGTAAGTGTACTGAATTCAAAGTTTCCTACTACCAGTATGTCACACGAACCTTTACGTACTTTATGGATTCTCATCACTTGACTAGAAAATGCTTTAAAATGTTCAATCCGCTAATTAATTGAAAAACTCTTCATCAAATGCTATAGAAACTAGGTAGGTATATGTTAAGTACCCATGTGCTGACAGTTTTCTCAGTAGAGTACTTAACCAAGATCTTACGGCACATTGATAATAGAGTAATCGAAAAGGTACCCTGCTGACAAATGATCCGGTAGACGAGTACTTTGAACTCAATACATTCGCTAGGACAGCACTTGATTGAAGTAAATGACAATGATACATCATACTAAAATGAAATACTTAGACTATATCTAAATTTAATAGAAAATATTGCAGCTTATAGAATATGGAGAGAAGATACTGGTTCGTGTATGTAACTAGTCATGCTACTGAAGAAAGTAAATGATGTTAAGATAAGAACATTCATGTTCTCGTTTATGGTTAGTCGGTTGATTCGCTAATAGCAAATAAAATAATGTATGACAAAAATTCCTGTTCATAAAAGAATAAAGATACGAAGTACTCGAGATATGTATCATCAAAATATCGACTTTGTTTTTGAATAATCATACTGTTTCAACGCAAAGATATTAATGATTGAGGAAAAATTGTTGCATATTAGTGGTAGTTTTGGGGATACGTAAGATGAAATTCGGCTTACATGATGCTGTTAAAAGTTATAGTGTAATTCAAAACAAGTTATACTCGTAGGTATAGTCATTTGTTATTGTATAGCAGAAAAATTTTTATTTTCTAAGAATTGTTATTGTAGCTAAATAACAAATCAAGCATAAAAGCGGTTTGAAACCATTTCTGCTCTCACCCATACGTAAGCTGCTACACTTATAATATCTGACGAATATGATTGTGTAGTTAAATAGCAGAAGGATCTAATCTGTTTCTGGGTTGGTGAGTTTTTTTTATTACAAAGAGGAAAACATGATCAGTAAATAAAAGTAATTCACATGTGATGAAGAAATATATTCTCGTGGTTCGCATATTGTTTGACTGTATCCTCTTCAAAATATGTTATCTATCTTAACAAATTGAAAATAGTATTGAAAAAGCCCAGTAGGTATTTTTTATTTTTGTGCATATATGTAGTGCTGACCAAAAGTTTCGCCTCACCTATGAACTACAATTATTATAGAGGGCTAGATAGCTGAAACCTTTTGTGGAAATATTCTGCGATGAGTAATGATTACCGGTGTCATCATTCCTACAGTTGCTCGAGTCTGCATCGAATTAGAAAGGGCAGTAGTCATATGCACTGATGACTATTGAATTATTGTCGAGATTCCAGAAAATTCAGTTCTCCAGCAAATGTGTTTGTATTTTTAGTAAAGACAGAACATATGCTAGGCTTCTTTTTCATATTATTACAACAGATAATTACTGATGTATTTGAGAAAATATTTCTATTTTTGCTGAGAACATCAAAAAAAGCTGCTGATGAAATATTTCTCGGTACTCTCTCCAATACATCAGTAATTATTGATTGTTTAGTATGAAAATGATGCTTTGCATGTCATATTTTCTTTACTAGCAATATAAATACATTTGGTTGAGAATTGAATTTTCTGGAATCTTGGCAATAATTCAGTGGATATGAGTATGCCATTTGTTTCGACTATAATGTTTACTTTCGAAATTTTCAGATGAACTCGTTAAATTGACACTGATGATCATCACTCATCGTTGAATATATCTACAAAAAATTTCGGTTCTCTAACTCTTGTAATACATGCAGTTCATGGAGGAGTCGAGACTTTTGGTCAGCAGTGTACTATACGGAATAAATTTACTAAATGCTCAAATATTTTTCAAGTTCTAAAATGATTGAATGTTTTATTGATTTTAATCTGGTGCTTATTCTTGTTTTTAGCTCAAATAAATAATGTAATAGCTGAATCTTTTCAAAACTATGTTAATATATATGATAAATAACTTTATTAATGTTCTCGTCATTGAATAACTTTACATTTTGGATAATGCTTAGAGAAATTTTCAGAGCAATTATCTGGTATTGTCTATCGTATTCGTTGAACATAAGTATCACTAAGATTAGAAAAATAACTTTTCTAAATAGTTTCTCGTAAGTAAAATTCATATCAAGAACTTACGGTAAGAAAATGAGTATCATATTGAATCAATATCGAGATAATAATTTGTTGATTGGTAACGGTGTTATGATTTCGATAAAAATGTTTCGAATAAAACTATCGATTTATGTTGAATTTAGGTGATACACATTCTGAAAAAGGTTCATTATATTTTATTTTCGACAAAAATTATAAAAGTAAGTTTTTTTCTTCTTATGAATAATTCATTGAGAACTTTTTCTTTCTCATAGTAGATTCAACTATGTTTTTTTTCTTCTTAATTTCAATCATTTTTTTTTGTTCTTTTGTTGAAGAAAAGAAGATGTATATCTGTAACAGATTGTGTAAATGTTTCTTTTAGTTAGCCGATATTTGGTTTTATCCTTGTTTATGTTACTTTCACACATCAGATTGTTTATTTCGATACATTATACTTATGACTATTGATAAGGCGCCTCTAGCCCTATATTTCTTTTTGTTGCTCTTTTTCTTCTACGAACAACCAGTTCGAGACGAGGTAAAAGAAAAAAAAAAGAGAAGGGTAAGAGAGAGGAGTAAACGCAGCAATACGCGTGCTATGCAACCACCGTCAATCGATCATCATCACTACTCAAGAAGCAAAAAAGAAGCAAAAGAGAGAAAAGGACCATGTATTATATAATTATACATTGCCACCGTTTGCTTTCTTCTCGTCAGTCCTCGGTAGCATACCAATGAGTATAGAAAAATAGAAGAGAACTGGCAGGAAAAAAAATGTAAAGCAAAGAAAAAGGAGAATCTTATTTTTCATCGTACTGTTTAAGAATATAAAAGATAGAGACGAATAAGACAGTGCAGCCGTTCAAATGTCAATTTATAGTAAAACTATTGACATTGTGTCTTTATACATGTGTTTACAACTCGAAGGCATCACTATGACTATCATCAAATCATCACTGATGTGTGTGTGTTACATTGAAGGACAACCTATGACAAGAAACAGAACAAATACGCACACGCACATTTATATGCCTATTACTAACTAGTAACCAATATTCAACCAAATATTATACAGACATTTATACTCAACTTTGTCGTAGCATTGATTCAGCAAGAAAATCTTTTAATTGATATTTATTTTAGATAATGGCTGACGCCATATTAAAACTAAGTCGTAGTCTTGTTAAAATCGATACAAATGAAGATTTTTTATCTGATCAAATTCATTATCAAATAACATTTACTATATTAATTATGTCTGCATTTGCATCAACAACTCTTCAATATTATGCTGATCCAATTCAATGTATTCAACCAGCTCAATTTACTGAGGGTTATACAACATTTGCACGTACTTTATGTTGGTTAAATAATACATATTTTTATCCTCAAACTTATACACGATTACCAATGAATAAAAATGAACGTTTACAACATACACTTCGTTATTATCAATGGTTACCATTTGTTTATTTAATTCAAGCTTTTTTCTTTTTATTACCACATTTAATTTGGATTAGTTTTTATAAACGAAATGGTTTAAATCCAGGTGTAATGGCTAATCAAGGAAAAAAATTTGATGATAAACCTGAAATAAGTCATCGACTTGCAAAAGAAATTGAACGTTATTTAATGTGTAGAAAATTGGCACAATGTAAAAAAAAAATATTATTTCGTCATAATATTAATGAAACTCATGATAATGCTTCTACACCTCTTGCTTTGCCAAATATTTCATTTCGTATTCGATATCATACGTATTTTCTTGTTACACTTTATCTTCTTATTAAATTACTCTATATTATTAATATTATTCTACAAGTACTTATATTAAATGTTATTTTATCAACAGGAACATATGGATTTTTTCATTTTGGCTTTGATACAATGAAATATGTATTTCGTTCATCAATACGTGAACGTATGAGTGAGTTGTCATATCAACATCAACAATTATTTCCATTTGTTACTTTATGTGACTTTCATATACGAGAATTAGGACAAGATCATTATTATACCATCGAAGTATGTCTGAAGACAAACATAAAAAAATAAAAGTATGATTTTCTTCTTTTCTTTAGTGTATATTATTAATAAATATATTCTATGAAAAAGTTTATTTTGCAATGTGGATTTGGTTTGCTGTACTTTTTATAATATCAATTATCTCATTTATATATTCGTTTTACAATTATGTTCCATTTTTTGCTCGTTATCGTTTTATTGATAAACTTATTGGTTTTATTCCAGCTGAAAAACAACAAAAATCTTCATCAGATATACCAATGTCACAAAATTTAATAAAAATTACAACAACAGATGATAGAAGAGAAAATGATTTGTCGATTGATGCTAATCGCGGAAAAGATTTTGTTCAATGGTTACAACGTGATGGAGTTTTTCTTCTTCATTTACTTCATTCACATTCAGGTGAACCATTAACAATAAAATGTATAAAAGATTTATTGGATATTTGGATTAACAACTATGAACAAGAACCACAACTTGCTCAACGATTATTAAAAAATGAATTTCATTTCTCACAATAAAAAACACGATTATCTTTCTTCGTTTTGTTTCAATTTTTCTTTTTTTCTATTGATTCTGTGCTTTTTTATGATATTGTTATTGAATGATAGAAGACTTACTCAAGTAAATAGTCAACTTTATGTTTATAACCAAAAAAGTAGTGATCTTTCTCTCGGTGCAAATCATACATTTTTATTCATTTAAAAGAATTTTCGTTTGGCTTTTTGAGATAAACATTCCTAGGAGACTCCCTTTTTTTTCAATAGCCCTCCTAATCCATAAATGTTATCACAGCTACAAAAAGAAGCAAAAAAATATGGGTTGCGTTTGAAGAAAGAGAGTACAATAAAGTTTTTAGACTACTTTGAGAATACCATCAAAGCGCAAGCGTGTATTAAAGGAGGAATCGATGCACATTCAGCTTTTCAGAACAAGTATGCATGCCGATGCAGAATGAGACGAAAAATCGTCTGGTGACAAATTTAATCCATTTAGAAAATGCTTTTATCATTTTCAACACTGTACAAATCCATATGAGCCATCCAGAAAGAGCAAATATTTGCTGAACATATAATGAACAAATAGCACTTGTATCCATACGCTGAAGTAAACTCCAGTATTACTTTAGTGGGCAATTACGCAAACCTTGTCGAAGAATACATAAACGTCTATCAAAAGGGTGACACAATAGCCATAGAAAACAGGAAAAATTGGGTAATGTAAATGCTAATGTTTCACGATCGATAGAATTCATTGTAAAAACGTCTGTGATAGATCAATCGAAGTGAGAACTAGTCACATTGGTAAAAATATGATGTACAAACCGTCAAGTTTTCAGCTGTCTAAACAGGATGTGCGCAATATCGAATTCATTACTAAGTGATTGATACTCGATGATAGTATTTGGAAAAAATATCTTTTAACATATATAACTATTAAATGAAGCAGCGAGAAAGCTATTTTATTGAAGATCCTAAACTCTCTATTCTTGATGAAAGTCAATTTAAATTGATCGCTGAACTTTGTTCGAATAACCTTTACTTCAGGATAACTATATAAATAGGAACATGTATGGAACTATTATGCAATTCAACGATGAAGATTAAGATGAACAATATGAAAGAATAGTTCTGCAGTTGTTCGACTGATGCGCACATTATCATATGTTTTGCTTGTATAACGGCTCTTATCTGACATCTAAGTGTCTGTTACAGTGAAATAAATTCTTTTGACCATTACATTCTGTGTCATAAATTAGCCTTTTCATTGTACCAAACTGCATTGAATCCTCGCACCTCGAAAAAAGTCATGATAATAAGTATGCTTCGGGAGATAGGGGTAGCGACGAGAACTCACATGTTTCATCTTCTTATACCATATTAACATGATTATATTATTATTTTTATCATTTCTTTAAATATAAATTTCATTGATGTTTTCTATCTAATTGAAGCATGTACGGACAATGTTGGAACATTTGAAAAGTTCATCATCAATCAAAAAAACAGAGACATGAAATATGTCAACTAACTGAACTAAATCAATTGAGAAGAACTGTATGAATCAGTTTTGTTTCCATAATCGAAATATAAATAAGAAAAAGTGAAGTCAGTTCGCTTGCATCTCAAAAAATATATTATCAAACTCGAACAAGGAATCTCGATTTTCAAACTCTTTTAAGAGAACTTTCGAAGTCTAAAGCTCCATGGCATATCTCAAAATATTAATACAAGTACTATTTGTTTATTATAATCTATGGCCAAACGAATATTTTTTTGTGACATTTCTTCTCAAAATACGGTCTTATTATGGACAAGAAATCAGGTAAAAAGATAGCCCAGCAATCGGCATTCAAGACCACTAAACCATTTTCCAAATGCATTGAATCTTCCATCAAACGATTCTTTGTCTTATTCTACATGGATAAATGTATGCTATTTGAAAATTTGAAGGTCAATCGATTTGTCCTTTTATGGATCTCTCTGCTTTTATCCATTTCGACAAGAAGAAATTCACAGGTGGCTGAGACTTAATCTTGGAAATCTAACTTCATTTTTTAGTTTTAAAAATTTTACTAACAAGTCTTTAAAAAGGAGAAGATAGGACTGAAGAATGAAGATAAGCCATTAAATCTGTGACGTAGACTCAAAATGATCTCTGATAAGGCTTTCAAGTCAATCAAATAAAGTGAATAAATTAAGAAAATTCATGGTTTACATTACGCTAAATGAGAGAAAAGAATTTTACTATAATAACTATTTAGAAACAATTAAGCAACTCTGTGTAGGAATAGAATATCAATAGTTCTTATTTTACTAGTATTGAAAGCAAATTTCTTCAGCAGGAGGTATATCGCGGACAGAATCTAGAGAATAGAGAAAAGAAGTTGCACCTTTTCTTCACAAAGTATACTCTTAGCTTAAAAAAATAAGTTTGTTTGCCTAGATACATGTTCCTTATTATAAAAGGCGACTATGATTATCATAACAAATGATCAATTCAAAATCAATTGTATTTAAAATGTTGTTAGTACAATCTTTGCAGGATTAAGATGTGAAAACCGATGTAGCTGTTGTTTTTAATTACAGAGAAACTATTTTATTCTTCATATATCAATAACAAAACGTTATTGACATACAGTCTGTGATCATAAATTAGCAACGTCTGCGGGAGAAAGAGTCTAAATGTTTATCCTTTAACTTCAACATTCCTGTGGGATTGTGTTTCAAAAAAGAGTAACAAGAGGTGCAGAATAACTACCAGTTAAAGTAATATTTGTTGCTTTTTGAAAAAAATCAGCGACCTAATCAGACCTGTTAGATTTCAAATCTAAACTTCTAATGAAGACGAAGCCAAAGTATTCAAGTAATACAGATAAGAAAGAAATATTGTTTGTAAAAAACAAGATTTTATAGGATAATCTATTGAGAAAATCATAAATGTTTACAAGACAAATTTTATTTTTGAGTACAAAGCCATTGGCGATTTCAAATGCATATTATTGTCCAAGACGCCAATTATTGAAAAAGTACATTGATAAGACCAAAGAAGTCGAAATAAAGTAATACCTATATTATAAACCAGATAATCATCGACGTTCCCTCCTACAACTCCATAAAAAAAAGGCATAAAAGTAAGGGACAACAAGTACTTAACTTCAAAAGAATACTATATTTCTTTTTATGATATAAATCAATGCATTAAATGATAAAATCTTTCAATTGATTTAAATAGTGGAAACTGTAAGAAAAAAAACAGAATACTGTTTCGATTACTTCATTGATTATAACCTTTTGAATCAGGTAAGATATTTCAATACTTATCATTTTTTAACATTTACTAGCATATTTAATCAACATGTAGAAATCAATGTCTATTTTCTGATAAATAATAAGATTTCCAATGGCCGACGACGAAGAAAATGATCCAACAGCACCATTTAATGAATTAGAAGCATTTGATTCTTTTTGGCAAGCTTTAACATGGAAGCAAATTAAAACACGTGTTCCAATATGTGCAAGAAAAACAATTCGTAATCGATACTTTGCCGCTAATATTGTTTATCTTGTAAGTAAACATTCAATTGAATTCGGTTTTTATTGTACGAAATTGTAACTAGATCTATGCTATTGGTATTCTTCTTATCGATTTTTCACCAGCAATCACTGGTGGCAAAGATCCATACGAAGACCCGTGCGTGTGTGGCAATACGACTGTTGATAATAGTACCGAAGAAGTAGGAGGGACGAACTATGCAGCTATAGTCAATAATATGTATATTGGTGAGTGATGATAATCAAAAAACCAAAAATGCATTCATATTCAAAATTAATTTGTGTTTTAGGCTTAGGAGTAATACATGTTATTTCTGCTACATTGTATTGGTGGTCATGGAAAGGTAAATAAATTTATTGTTATTTTTAGTTATTTCTCTTTTATGAAATAGATCATTGTTGGAATGATGTTATTATGCTACCTGAATACTTGAATCATATTGAAGCAGCTTTATATTTATGGGCTGCTATATGGTATGCAAGAGCAGCCGATGAGGATTATTATGATTATTATACTTCAACAATTCATATAATTGAGACAGTTGCAGCATTTGTTGAATTATATGCATCATTCGGATGGTAAATTGAAATTGAATAAAGAATAATTCAATTTTTTTTCTTTTATATAGGATCATGTCTTGGTATCGAACATATACACGTACGATTTGTCGTGGTTTTACATTAGATGATCCCGATACAGTAGCATATACATTCACAACATTAAGTTCATTTATTTATATAACCTATAATATTCAAATATTACAAAACCCAGAAGAGTATGGTACAAATGAGCTTTATATTAATGGTGATCTTACTTATTTTGTCGGTTGTATTTTTTATTTATGGGCAAATTTCAGAGACGATGGTTGGCTGTGGTGGATGCCTTTCGCTGGACAATACGGTGTTGCAGCAGGAAGAATACAAACAGAAAAACCTATTGTAATAGGTTTACCTCATTTATTAATCGGTGGACCTGAACCAATTATAAGATGTTTTCGGCGATGTTGTGGAAATGATTCAGACGTAGCAAATAATGAAGTAGTACCTATAGATGGAAAACAAGGTGCAAACATTCATAATACTAAAGATTCTACAGATCGAGTGTGATTTTATTCACAAATTTTTTGTTTGTTTTATAAAGATTCTTAGAGTTTTGTAGAAAAATTCTTTTTCTGTAAATTCTAGAAGCACATGAAAGTATTTATTTTAAATAAATTAATCTATTAGACGTATATACATGTATATACAATAGAGATCAAACAGTATATAGATATCAATAAAAACCTAGTAAACCAATACCACTATGAAACTGATAATAGATAATAGTATGAACAATGAGTATCAAGCATCTTTACCGAACAAGCAACATCAGTATCAATGTTATTAATAACACAAACACTAATGCCATAACATATTACATCGAACAATGTCACTAATAACATGATAACATACATCATTCTCATGACATTCAATAAAGTAATATGAAAATTGAAAAGAAAAAAACTTAAGTTTATTGAACTGCTAATATATGAAGTAAGTTTAAATTTATCCTAACTTGAGCAAAAATATAGACGAGAATCTCTTGCTGCTGATTATCATCTCTACTTAATTTTGTGTATACTTTTTCTCAAGTTATCATAAATTTAAACTGACTTCAAATATTAGCGGCTAAATAAACCTAAGTTTCTTCATTTCATTTCTTCTATGTTATCTTATTGAATATCATGGTAGCAATGTAGGTAATTATGTTATTGGTGGTATGGTTTTAGTGTTATATGTTATTGTATTGATGTTTGTGCTATTTATGGTTTCGATAGTAGTGTTACTTGATATCTATATACTGTTTGATCTCTATTGTATATACATGTATATACGTCTAATAGATTAATTTATTTAAAATAAATNGTAAAATCGCTTTTCGTTTGAGACTATAGCCATTAGATAGACCATAGTGAGATGTGCTCAGATTCATAAGGGTTCAGGTGCATGGGTCTCTGGGGGTGAGATATTTGATTTATTAGGATATTTTTCTAATGGAGCCTCGTTATTCGAGAACAATCGAACTTTGGAATTTAGACCTGAAACTTTGCTCAATTAAAGGTCTCTACTAGAGTAGATATTATACAAAATTTCAGACCTTTAGCACAAACCGTTCGTCAGCTACCGGTTCCTCAAGTGCGAGCTTCCTCCATATAGGAACCATAGGTATTTTGACTAGTTTATAATCCACGAAAGGTTTGTGCTAAAGGTCTGAAATTTTATATAATATCTACTCTAGTGGAGACCTTTAATTGAGCAAAGTTTCAGGTCTAAATTCCAAAGTTCGATTGTTCTCGAATAACTAGGCTCCATTAGAAAAATACCCTAATAAATCAAATATCTGACCGCCAGAGACCCATGCACCTGAACCCTTATGGATCTGAGCACATTTCAGTAGGGTCTATCTAATGGCTATAGTCTCAAGCCAAAAGCGATTTTACACCTGGAGAGGTTCCCTCGTTAATGCATGTCAAAGAGAACGAGAAAAAAACTTGTGTTCATTCTGCTTGAACATCGCATATTAAGAACATTGCATTGACGGCAGAAGGGACAGAGAGAACAGAATAGAAGAAAAACGCCATATTTGACGAAAAAAAAACAGAGAAATACTCGCGATGAAGTAAAGGTCATGTACGATAGTCATCAAAAATGAGCATATATAGTGTGTATTCTTCAATAAGCGCAAATAATATTCAATTAGTTTCTCATTCTGACTAAATGTTAGACTTTCTCAGTATTTGTGTATCTGATCAATTTCACTCACATTGGACTCGAGTACATCTAACAACCGAGCGTATTCTTGTGACGAATCCGACTATTCTCAATTATTGGATGCATATTCGTCGGGATAGTTTCTATCCTGGAGTTTTTCGTTCAAAAAATATTACTGTCAATAACGATTGGACCAAGTTGTTGACGAACAATAATGATATATCTATGGATAACATTCATCAAATTTATCAATTTATTCGTACTTCAATTCATAGTGTCATCAATAATGATAATTGTTCATCATCTTATTATGCGCAAACAAAGCTAAATGAAAATGATAAGAAAAGAACAATAATTTCGCTTAGTGATCGTCTCTTTCAATCAGATAGCGATGCAGTGAGTATCATATACTGTTTTTTAAAGTAATGACTCAATTTGTTCCATAAAAAGTCGAATTTACATAGAAGAAATTCCCCTTTTTTTTGCATAGCATTTTATTAAAGCCGATCGAACTAGATTTTGTAATAATAATTGCAATTACAATTACAATCGCTTCAATAGATCTCTAGAATTATTCTGCATTTGATAAAGGTCAAATAATATGGGCTTCTTTTACATTCAATAATGAAAATTTTTTGAAATAACTAATTCATAAATGTCAAATATTCGAAGCTTTTCATTTCACCCTCTCAAACCTCAAATCTCGAATGATTAGGAAAATTTTTATATTACTGTTTTTTCTAGTACTTTGCAACAAGTTCGATATGTTATATGTGATAATTCTTTTTAGTTTGTATTTGTGACTGCAGCTGTTCTTTTACGCGCGATTTCTCGTGCTATATGGTCTACATGTCTGAAGAACATGCGTTCAACACGATTTTTGCTAAATCCATTATTTTTCTCGTGGACAGGTATACCGGTAAAATTTTGGCCAAACACAGAGAAAAAGCAAAAACAAGAATTAAGCCCCTTTCCAGTGATTTATAAAAGTCATCCACCTGATGGTAAAACAAGTTTGGTTTCTGATGTTGGTAATCTCTTTCAACATTTATTTTATAATGGCGAAGTACATCTGTATGATGATGAGATCGATGATCGAAATGGACAAATCATGATCCAAGTAGCACTTCGAGTACATCAGACATACTCTAGTTTATGCGCAGCGCGCTATCTCAATGATAAACTTCTTCATGATTTTTTCAATATAAACCAATGTAAGTGTGTAACAATTATATAGTGTTCTATTCTTTCTTTTTTTTCTTTTTCGTTTAGACTCACTTGAAGTAATTCGACTGATCAATGATCAACCATGCCCTTATTTTGAATATTATCCAATTGAGGTCAGGGGCAGTCGAATCGATGAGATTGTGGTAGATGACACACCTTCTGATAAGTGCATTTCTTGGGATCATGGTACCTTCTATGAATACAAGCCTTACGAGTAAATTTTTAATTCGATTTACGAACAATTTTATCAAGTGTGGCAAAGAAGTGTTTTTTTCCTTTGTTTAAGTTTGAAATTTGATAAAACATTAACTCTTGGCTACGAAATAAAGATAGGAAGATTAGAGTTTAGAAGTTGACCAGCTTTGAATGCAGTTTTGGATGTACATGGTAAAGCAAAAAGATACAAAAACTCATAGCTATGATTATCTTTTGTTGTATTCTCTTTGCGTTACGTTAATTAACATTATTATTTCGCTTCCAAGGACTACTAACTCAACTTTAGTTGTATGCTATGGATAGTTTATAAATAGAATCAATAGGGTTTCTACAATATACAGATTAGAATGAACGTAAATCTATTAATCATGTGTTGGCAAGAGTTATAAGATAGCTTAATCACTAGAAAATAGAACCAAATCGATGTACAGCAGAAAAAGATGATTATCAACTAAGAGTTTGTTCAAAAGAAATATGGCAACTAAAACTTAAGAACTCTAGTATCACATTACAGTCATTTTTGGTTAGTATTTTTCAAATATGTGCTCAATCTCAACTAATTTAAACAATTCTTTTTTTTTAATATTTCATCAAGCCAAAAGAGCACATCATTTTAGTTACTTGCAGTTCTTCACTCAACTAGCTGTCTTAAGAAAAACACCAACCTGTTTCCTCTTCACTTTCAATGGTAGTCAACTACAGCATGAGTTCTATACACTATATCATTAGAATTTATCTTCTTACAGTTTATTGGATTTTATCATTTTTTTGTTATTCAGGATATACCTGACAAAAGTATGAAAAACTGTTATCTTGATAAAGATATATGCCTGATGGCTCAGTTAAATTCTATCTAATTTTATCTCCGATAAAATTTCATTGAATTTGCAATTTTACAACATTTTAAAACCATTCTACAATACAATAATAAATTAAGATGTCGTAGCATCGGACTCGAGTCCTATGCAAGTTAGCTTTTTTTTAAATATGAACTAGATCCGAAGTCTCTATTCGTACTAGACTTCGACCCGACTGACCTTAATTAAACTTGGACTCGAACCAATTAAAAATTAGCGACGAAGGATTCCATAGGGTCAATTATCACTATTTTGAATACTTATTTGAATCTATCAGTTTGTTCGAGAAGTATCTGAAAAATAATTACAGCACAAACGAATTATATTCCATTCAGAATAGTCGCGTAGCCAGAAAAAAATTCTAAGCGAGGCTGCACTTCTTCTAAGTTTGTGCTAGAGCGACTTAGCTCCTTGCAAGTTCTCTTTAGAGGAAGCTGATATTTGCATGTGCAGCAATTTCAAAAATTTCTGGGAGACTCGAACGTTTTCAGAGGAGGCTCAGCTTCCTCTAGCTATTATCTAGTTACCCTACGATACTAGAGCAGAACTTCAGTTCAATTCAATTCTATTCATTACCAGTTAGCTAAGTTTATAAATTAAATTCACAATATTTATATAGAGATATATAAACTAACTTGAAGTGAACTCATAAAGTTTGATAACATCTATGAATTGAATTAGATTAAATCCATGTCACGTTTTTTCCAGATAAACTAAATGGAGTAAAATGACTTTCTAAATTGATGTAACCGGATCTACTCTTTTTATAAATTTCAAGGAATGACCAGACCAGATATGAGAACCATGGATGAGTAATTTGATCATGTAAGTTGCCTTGCATTTGACACTTAACTATGGATGCACCAATTCCAATTCTTGACTTGGAATTTGTCAGAATTGTTTAGAATTGGAATTGGTCGAAATCGGTATTGAAAAAATTGGAGTCAAATTATCAACTTATGTAAATATATGCAAAATTATTAATTCCACAACAACCAATTCCAACAATTGAAATTGATGTATCCCTAAGCTTAACCCAGTTAAACAATTGATGCATGTTCCTTTTAACTTGACGGCTTTTTTTATGTCTTATTACAGAGCTTTCACTCTAACTGTAAAATTGAAAACTGAACTTCTAAAACTTTGTAGCAAAAAAAAAGTACTGAAAAGAGAGATGAAATCTACGCGCATTCAGTCTAGGAAGCTTTTTTTTAACAAAAAGTAAAAGATCATATAAAATTGCTTGTTCAAACTTTGTTATGCTCGCACAATATGGAGAAAAATCCCTAATGGCGTTGAATTATTATTGTATAAAAAAGAAAAGTTTCCATAAAGAAATATTCGAATCTAAAATACCCGATATTTTCACTGGTTGAATCTTGAACCCGAACGAGCCTTCGATTGGAGTCGATTCGGGTCGGATCCAGTCGTATGACTCTACATCCTCAAATCTGTATTTATATCTGAAAATAGATTAAGAATTGTATAATTATCAATTGAAATATACCGCTACTAACTTAATCAAAAATATTTGGTCAACCTTACCAATAGATTTTTCAAAGTATATTGTCGTCAATTTACTGCAGATATAGACGATTGTTCCAATCAAGGGGGAAAGTGCAATTTCAGCACCCAGTACCTGCTCAGCACCTGAGCACCTTTTAAGCATCTGGTACTGAAGAATTGTGAAACAGGTGCTGAGGTGCTGAGCAGGTACTAGGTGCTGGGAACCTGTACTTCCCCCTTGGTTCCAATCTACATCGAATTTTTGAACACTATAGATTTCTCAATCAATATGTCCCAGTATGAAATTGTCTCAGTAATAAATCAAATGTTATCATCCATTTAATTGAATGACACTTGATCTTTAAGACGGAAGCCGTATATGTAACAGATATTGGAAACATATAAATAAAATACAAAAAAATTATATTTATTGAGATCAAAGGTAGAAATGGAAAAATTTTGACTTTCCAACTTTATTAGAAGGAAGATTTTTGCATAATCTTTAATTAATATGTTTTAGTCCTAAGGAGCCTCGACAACATTATGAACAAACCGTATTCTTTGGTTATCCAGAACTTATGTATTGTGGAAAATGCGCTCGGCTTTTTCCACACGTTATTCAGACGGATGATACTTTTTTCGTCGAAAATCGCTAGTTGTTTCGTCGTAAAATACCAATATCATCGATCACATCATCAAGCGACATCGAGAAAAAATGTTCATCATCGAACCAAATCAAAGGAAAGTGTATCATCAGTACCGCATGGCGCAAGTTTATAAGTAGAGTGCAAGCCTTCTATAATAAATTTATTCATAAGAACATCAAATGCAACAAATGGCAAACATAATGAAGGATAAATATGACTAACAACTACAGCAGAAAGATTGTACACATATCTTGTTTTTTACCATCATGTATAGTTAGAATTTTTTCATGTTTACGTGTAATTATCTTTTGATCCGGCTTCGTAGCATCGTTCTATGAAGATTTAGAAATATATAAGAATTCGAAAATGCCATTTAACTAGTATTTTATGAACTATATAGAAAATATAAATGATACTGGTTTTCGTTTGGGAAGTTTTTTTATTTTAGCTGCTTGATAAATGCTGCACCAGCACTCATAACTGTAAACCGTTTTTTCTCTGTATATCATAGGATGAAGTATATAGAAAAGTATATTCAAATTGTGAACAGCAATAACACAAGAAAGTTTTTTTCGCGAATAAAAATTATCTATGTTCAATTTATTTGCGAATTGTTTTACAAATATAGAATCACATAATTATAAACAAGAACAAACAGAATGAACATTACAATCATTTATTTTTTTTGTTTTATACTATATAGACGATGTTTCTACTTCATAATTATTAGTATTTCACATGCCTGAAATTGTCGAACCAAACGATGTGCTTATAGTATTAAACAGAACGATATACAAAATTTCTTCTAGATATACTGATTAATGAATCAATATAGTTCTCTGTTGTTATTGAACAAATATATCTTATCAGCATAGTTCTATGTTTTATGGTTAATCGTAAATAATTATGGTAATGGCAAACATCTTTTATCCTTTTCAAGTTATTTACAATAATTTACAGGCCGCTTTATAATACTACATGGAGAGTTACTTTTACTTTTGTTCTATAAATAATAAAATAAGACGATTGAAGTTGTTTTTTTTTAATAATTGATAAACAGAATCATTAGGACATGAAGAATCAAAATCTCCACAAAAAAAAATAATTGAACAATTATTTAAAAGATTATTTTTTAATTGATATTCATTAATAAATTCAAGAAATTGTTTTGATTTGTTTTAATCCTAATCAACAATCAAATAAATTATGTCGAAATATTAAATGAATATTAATTAAAAGTAAATATTTTTTCATTATCTTCAAGATCAAATAAAAGTCCAATACGATTATCACTATTGTATTAGAGAGATTCACATTTATCAATTAAATTTCAAATGATTTTTATTAAAAAATACAGCTAAACTATCATTTAAATCACCAGTTCATTGAATATATTAAAAAGAATGTTTTGATGAAAGATGAAATTTATATAATTGAATAAAATGAAATTTCTTTTTAATAAAATTCTTGTAAACAAATTAAATGAATCTGAAGAGATTGAAAAAGATTTATTATTGATAAATGATGTTGTCACTAAACAGACTCATAAGCACTTTCACAATCATTTTTAAGATAATAAATGTTAATAACATGGAAGAAGAACATTAAATGTACATATTGAGAGATTATTTGTCGAAATTATTGACAAAATTAGATAACAGATTTCTAAATATTTTAACTTTCATCTATCAGAAACTAAAGTCTTTCAAAAGAAGATATAGGACTAAAGATAAAATTGAATTGAAATTTATTTTCTGTTCAATAAAACATGATACATAATTAACTTATCCCAAACAAAAAGAAAAAGTATACAATCATTTTTCATACCTGATGTTGAATTACAAAACACGATTATTTTATATTTTAATAAAATCTTTCTTTTGTCTCTTTCAAATATTTTTTTAGCAACAAAACCTAAGGAAGAGATAAGACGAGTAGTGTCACATATTCCAAAATTTGGAGATGCATCCTCGTCTCCTGTACGAGATGTATCATCTCTCGTGAAAGGTGTAATGCGTCTTCAAATTTCAGACTATATGACAGTGGTGAATAAGACACAAAAATGAAAAGTTAGATGCATTTGTAAAAATACTGAAGATTAAATTAATAATATATCATCATTCAATACATTTCCATGAAGTTGACCAATATCATTTTGATTATTAACTGAAAATAAATCACCTGATGCACTTTTATTTTTTCTATCAATAACGTAAATCTTTATTAACACTGATCTATATAATTTTATTGAAAAAAATTCAAACGAGCAAGTAGTATAACATGAAATAATATGCAGGAGAAAGAACATAAACAGAAAAGTCGATAGGAAAAAAAAGAGTGATACACTATACATATATGTGTATATCATGAATCATGTACAATTCAAAAGAGATCACACCATACTATAAGATAATCGTGCAATACATAAAAAAAAGTAATATATTGTTAAGAGAGTAAAATGTTAATCGATTGATCGAGGATTATCTCGGCAATAATCTTCAAAAGTAAAACATAAATTAATTTAAAAAAAAAAACAAGGAAATGATAAACTAACTTCATCATTTTGTTTAAGAGTAATTGGTTTCATATGCTCAAGTGGCAAAATAACACGACGAGCTTGTTGTGGAAAATGTAGAGCACAAACTCCACTCTAACAAAAAAAACTTCTTTATCTGTTAAAAAAAAATATACTTTGAATAACATCAATTATTCCAATATGAGTTAATTCATCTTCATTGGAAAATTTAATTCGAATAAATAAATCTTCAGTAAGTCAATCATTATTTAATATTGAATCAAACTCTAATGAAGTTGACATTGATAGATATTGTGCACTTGGTGTAACGAAAGTTGTTATATTTATTAATACATAATAAAGATAATTTTCAAATGAAGATTAATCAGATGATATATTATTATTTGATGATGCTGAAAAATGATCATCTAATGCATCAGGAATTGAAATGTGAGAATTATATGCTATTTAAAACAAAAATAAATAAATATTTTATTTTATTTTTAAATATATTTTACGTTAATAATTCACTTGCATAGCTGATGATTATATTGAACTAGCTGAAGTATCCGGCGTTGCTCGGGAAAGTTCAATCTTAATATATACATGAAAAATACGCATTGGGCTCGACAATATGTAGAAAATTCTGACCAGTGGGGAGCCCCACTGGGAAACCTATTCGTAGACAGCCCAACAAAATAAATGCCCTTTGACTGAAATAAAGCACAACAACAAATCTAATTGGTCTAGAGCCTCACTTTCACAATCCCTACTGATCGAGTGAGTTAGGACGGTAAATCGTACTTTGTACTGCTCAAATCACTCTGAATTCTGATTTATTGCAAAGACAGACGGGCAGGCAGCTTTTTGTGCGACAGAGACCATTTTCAGCAACGTAAGAAGTCTATTTCTTTGAGCTCATGATTGACGCATAGACTTTTGAATCTGACAAACTGCTTATTCAAAATCCCGGCCTCAGACGACCTCCCGGAGATCAGTTTCCTCAAAACTCGATTTGTACTTGACACGGGTCGCCCGGTATGGTCACGGCCGGCCTAATAGAGTTTCGAGATCAATAGACTTAAGATTCCTAATGCCCTTTTCCCGACCATCCAGTGAGGTTTTTTTTCTCAAAAACTTGATTTCTAGTGATTCGTTCTCAGAAAACTCGATTCCTGTTGATTTCCAGCTAACCCGAAGAATTTCGAGGCGAATGGACATCAGATTCGAACTCACCTCGTGTAGAAACAGTTAGAGAACTGCTTCCGCGAAAATCCAATTTAGATTAGCTGGTTTCTTAACAGCTTAATTCCTATTGGTTTCAAGTCAACCAACAGGATTTCGAGGTGAATTGACCTTGGATTCGAACTCGCCGTCTCTGAAAACCCTTACCGGCCTGTTTTCGCGAAAACGCAATTTTCATTAGCTGGTTTCTTAGTGGCTGAATTCCTATTGGTTTTCAGCCAACCAATACGATTTCAGACAAATAGATCCCAGATTCGAACTCACCGCCCTCGAAAACCTATGATGACCTGTCTTCTGTTTGATCACGGAGTGCTGTTAAGTAGTCCTCCTATACTACCGAATGCTGCAATCTCATTGGTCAGATGCATAGTCCGGCCTTTTGCGGGCGGAAGATCGACTTTTTTTTTGTAAAGAGTAGTCGTTGACCTTCTCCTGGACGTAAGGGCATCCCATGAAAAGTTTGATTGCACTGGCTCATACAGGAACCAAATGCATAAAGAACAGACAGACAAACAAACAAACAAACATTCCTCTTTATATATATAGATAATTTGAATATGATGAATAAGCACGTATTGAAATATTTGAAGAAATATTTATTCGTCTATCAGTTGAATTAAGTAATGAATTAACATTTGATATTATTGTTGACGAAGAATTTGATATTAATAATGAACCTGTTCGATTTGAACTTTTCAGACTACTTGATTTGATAATGTATTAATTAAATAACTATATTATGATGTTATCGGATTTAATGTTGCAAATGATGATGAACAATCATCATGATAATAATCAACTATATATTTTAATTTGACATTAAATTTTATAAGAAAAAGAAAAACTAACTGAGATGTTGCTGCTCCACCATGAGCTTGTATAGAGTCATCAAACAATCATGATGAAATGTCTAAAGAGAAAATAAATAAATTTTCTTTAAAATTAGTTCTATCCAAACCATATTGTCATAATGAAGGTGTTGTTTGATCCATCATATATTGGAGTTTGATTTTCAATTATTGATGTATGTAAACTAAAAGTCGAATAAGATGGAATTTGAGAACCATGAAGTAATGTTGTAAAATAATGAGACATTTCACCTGAGCGACGTGGAACATTTCTAAACAAATTAAATATTTATTAATTTATTTATTACCAATTAAGATACAAAAAAATCATACATTGTTGGTACAATTCAATTTCTATAAACAGTAATTGTTTGAAATTTAGTATCAAGTTCAATTTTGTATGTTGATGAAGTTGCATCTTTAAAAATTCTAATATAATCTTTATAATCTTATTGTTAAATTCGAACTGTTTGTCCAATTGAACTTGTCTCATGATAAATAAAATATTATTTTATATTGAAAATGGAGTTTTTATTCCTTCTCCACCTCCAGTAGAAATTTGATGTTCAACCATAGGATGATGTTGGACTATTTAAATATATTGATGATGAACAAGTTAATGTTATATGCGACAGACGAGGGTGATGATAAAATACATGGTAACCTATAAGGAGCATTTATTGAATTTGATGATCATATTGATGAAATTTTTTATATATCACCAGTTATTAATTAATTTCTTGCTTTACATACAAATAAATCATCATTATTTAATTAATATATGACAAAATATAAAAATAAGATGACCATAAAGATGGTTTATTTGACCTTGACTATTCTTAAATAAACATTTGAGAAAAGAATATTTCTTTTGGTTTTGAATTCTTACTGAAAATGATCCATCAATAACATTAACAATATCATCAACATTTAAATTATTATTTTCTGAATTAAATTCTGTTGCATTTCGATTTATTTTTCTTTTTGTTACTGATTGAATTGGAACTACTTGAAACTTTTCCATTCATATTTAATATATGTAAACGTTCTTTTTCAATACGTATAACAACATCAACTTTATCCACTCTAGAAGAAAACAAAAATATATAATTATCAGAATAAAATTCTTCTATTGATTAAAACTTACGATATATTAACGAAATCTTTCAATTGATATTGTCAAGTTAAATCAACATCTGTAGCTATTTCTTTACAAATTTGAAGATCTGATGTTCGAACAGGCCTATATATATATATAAGACAACATATAATTCTTATAATTTTATTTCTATACTAACTTCATCTTTAGTTTCATCAATTCCAACAATCATTTCAGTTTCACCTTCAAATCTTCTATTTAAAACTTTAACATGATTTCTAATAGAAATATATTTTCTTAATTCATTTGCTTTAAATTATATTTCAGCTTTTTAATACTTCATGTTTTGATAATATTCGAATTGAATCATTATCAATACCAACAATTGTATCTTGTAAAAATTTATTAATTTACCTTCACATACTTCAACATGATCACCATGTGCAAATGATAATGAATCATTTTTTCATGTGTTTGTTTTATTTATTGTAACTAAATAAGATATACGTTTTTTTGCTTTCAGGTGCATCAATTGTTTCTTCAAATTTATCTAATTCACTTACAGTTGGAGTTATACTATCTACTGACTAAAATTTATTTTATTTAAATAATGTATATATTCAAATAAATTAGAATTTATTTCTTAAAAAAGAAAACATTGAAAAAAAAGTAAAACCCTTCAGAGATGATTGATGTTTTGAATATCATTAGCGATTCTTAGCACAAAAGTGTTGGAATAATACTCAAAACGATCATCATCATTAGTCTATCGTTATATTTTTAGCTCTGAATATCAATATTGGTAAAACTCTGAATACTCTGTACTTTACTTAACTTGAAAGAAAGTTTGACTACATTTAGAAAAATTTCATATCTTTCATTTGTATGTTTTCTTCCTCCTGAAGAAGATATCTAAAACCTGTTCTCTGTTCAAATAAAAAAATGATTTAAATCGATTTAACATTCAATTATTAAAAAATAAACTCCAAAAATTTTTAATAATTTATAACAACATGAAGTGGAAAATTTTTAAAAAGAAATTCTTTATCATCATATTTTCCACATTCAAATGTTCTATATTCATAATCTCTTTAAATTTGACCAGCTGCAGATCTAAAAATCAAAAGAAAAATATTCTTTTCTCAAATAAATTTGTTTTAAAAATCATTACTCGACAGCTGTTTCATCAAATAATTTAGCTGGTAGTCTTTTAAAAGCAAAACAATTTTTCTTCTTAAATGCTTGATGTTGTTCAGGTACAATATCACTTTGATCATTTGATGTTCTACGCAGTTCACCACGTTTTTTAGTATAATCAATTCTTGGTATTAATTTAAGTGTAACCATATTTTGTATCATATCACAATGTTTAACTTTAGCTAAATCATCTCGATAAATTCCACGTTTAACATGTACCCATGAACCTTTTTTTTTTATTCTATATGTTGTTTTAACAACTCGAAGAATATCAGTCATTCCTTTAATTGGTAGCATTTGAAGATTTGAAACATTTAATGAACGAATATCTTCACATGCTGCTTTAATATGATTTGATTTAAATGCTTCAATATAAATATAACCACGATCACTTTCTTTTACAACAACTGATTTTATTTGTAATGTCTTAACAACATCAAAATAGATAAATATATGAATTTGTCTTAATTGTTTACTTTTTCATTATTTTCTAAAGCAAAATATTTTCTCACAAGTAATAAAGCTGTTTGTTTTTCTTCTTCAATTCTACATTTAACTTTAACTGGCAAAAGATTCGGTGATTTAACATCAGGTAATAAACTTTGTTATGTTATTTCATCTGGTATTTGATCTCCATCATCATAATCATCACGCATCCCTCGACTTTTTGGATTATAACGTTCTTTTAAATATTTTTCCATTTCAGCTGGATCCATTTCACTAAAAAGAAAAGTTTAATTTGTTTCGAAAAAGAAAATAATAAATCACCAAACTATTCAACTATTGGAAATCTTGATCGAAGAGGTCGATAAATATCAGCTGTTGTTGTATCATGAATATTTGTTTGTTCAATAAAACTTTCATCTCCTGGTTCTTCTTCATCATCAACATCTATGAAAATAAAAATAGATGGATTTATTTAGAAAGTGAATATCAAACCATCTTCATCAATAATAAAAAATTTTCTAGAACGTTTCAATTGTTTTTTCGTTTTTGGGTGTGGGTGTGGGTGTGAGGTGTGGCTGTGTGGGTGTGGCTGTTGCTGCAGAGAACAAGAGTACACCCATACCAACACCAACACCCACATCCCTCCTTTGTCAAACTAAATTTAATTTATAGAAGACTATAAAACATGAAACACGACGAAATCATTGGAAGTTTTCATTAAAACAAAAGAAAAATGTTTCGAGAGTCTTCTGCTAATTGAATGTAGTTCGATGAAGGAAAGCCAAGGCATCTCATTTTGCTGTATGCAATAAAACCATATTCAAAAAGGTTTAAATGGATGTCAGAAACTAGCTTTGGAGGTTTTAGTCGTCTACATGTCCTCATCCGAGCAGTTTTATTGATGTTCTTAGGGTCACAAATCCTGATAGAGAGCTCTTTTAGGTACTCGGATTTTTTTTCAGACTCTTCTCAGCTATTTTTATCAAGAAGAAAACTTAAAAATGCAACTGTTCTAAAACGTCTGAACGTTAGCTATTCATTTTTTGCACGACGAAAGTCAATAGTTGTAATGGTCAATTCAATGAACAATAATTGATTATTTATCAGTTCTACATGATAAATGACGAACTATAAAAAACATGTATTTTTAATCTAGAGAGATTGCTTCGATCATTTGTTTCTCATTTTCGTAATGATAAAGAAGATAATCATGTTAACCTATAAAGGAGCTACGTATCCTAGGTTGAACGGTACGATAAATGAACAGATATTACTCTGACAGTAATTCAATGATTAGTAATACGGTTGTATAACAATGAGACTACGGTTAAGTTACGACGAACATATAGATAGACGCATCAATCGACATAGGCTGACAGTTCTTGCCTAATCAGCAAAAATTTCGTCTAGATGGATCTTGTCAGAAAGTCAAGATCTATTATATCAGTCAACAAAAAACAAAAATGTTGACTAGTGCTTAAATCAATTTCATCTTTTCTTGGATTTGTATGATTGTAAGCTAGTCAATATTTCATTTTAGAAATCAAAAATAAATTCAAACAACTACTATACAACGCTCTTCATCAATACTAATATTTAATTTACTCATTGAAGTATTTGTGAATAATTAACAGTAATGAGATGAAGTTCCTAGTTCAATCAACTCCAAAAAAACAAATACAGACTTCATTTTTATATTAAAATCAATTTTCTAAGCTTATTTCTGGAAACATTAGATTCGATTTCGTGCAAGTAGAAACTTATCATTTCATGGTTCGATCTTTATCATTCGCAAGAAATAAATTCCCTTTGTCTTCTAAAGAAAACTAAAACAGGAAAATGTGAAAATATCGGTTTTCTAATGTTATATAACAGACTCTCTTAAAGGTCGCTTATCTCATTATTTTCTAATATAACACTTAATAATCATTGTATGATTATAGACCAACTGAAAAAGTCTTTCACACTTTCTATTATTAGTCTTTCTCTTTATAGTACAGTTAAAGAGCTCAATTTATGACATATAATTAATCTGTATTACTCTATAGGACTGGATCATCGAAAAATTTGCTATTATTTTTCTATCAGTTGTATTTATTTATCAATTAAAATGAATTTTTTGTTCACATATACATTATAACTACATGTAGAAAGTCTTCACCAAAAGCACAATGAGCAATTTTCATAAAATACGTGAAGATAGCTTGTTTTCTGCTGAAAACGTCATTTTTTTCCTAGAAATCCTAAAGTAGTAGAATAATTTTCTCTACACCAAAAAGTCAATCATTGGCTAAAGTATATTCAATATTATTCAAATCATAAAAAACATGACTTTCATTTTTGCATCAAATATCCACTTTGTTACCTACTGTGCATTTTGACCAAAAACCTATGTTTACACAAATATGTAACGACGGAACGTTTCAACTAGCTCTCTCACAAAATGCGACTTCTGCAAAACCAGTATATAAAGATTGAAGTAAGAAATTGAATAGTATACAATCGATACATTTGAAAGTTAATGGAAAAAAAAAAGAGAAGATACTATTTGGCAGTATTGCATCGTAACTTTATGTTATGAAGAAACTACACTATCGCTTGTATTAATAAATAAATAAAAAACGTTTTGCAAGAATAAATATTTACGTAAATGAGATTAAAAAAAATATTGTTTACAAAACATCGACTGATGCATTTTGTTCTTTGACTGTTTTAAGTTGTTCATGTAGGAAATCTCGCACTTTAAGTACAATATCTGGATCTTCAATAGCCGTTTCGTATAATTTAATAAGAACATTTTCTCCACGATGAACTTCAGTAACAATTGCTGCTTTATCTCGACCATCAGTAAACCAAGATTTAACATCGATCCATGTTCGATGAGCCCCTGCTAGAGCTGAACCGGATGTTACTCTAAAATATCAATTCTATAGATCGAAAATATTTAAAAATAATAAAACATACGGTTCAACACCTAAATCAACTCGAATAACGTTTGATAATTGAATAATAAGATCAGCTCGGCTAGCTGCAATCTTATCAAAAAGTAATCTCATTGCTGTATCCTTAGTATCGGCAGCACATTGTTTGTAGCCATTGAACGAATCATATAAAGCTTCTAATACAAATTGGCATTTTTCAGCTGCTTTTCGACGAACGGCTGCTGACTCATCAGAAACTGTTTGTGAAGCTAAAGCTCCTGTAGCAGTATTAGATGACATGTTTTTACTTTTAGTAATGTGTAGAATAGGTTAACAAGGATGAAATGAGTATAAGTTTGCGTAGTAAACACATATATATATATGAGAACAGAACACTATATTTTATCTTTATATTGAAATTTAGCGAATCAATAAATGAATCTATTTTTTCTTAGCATAGATGTCGTAGGATAATGATATGACTTCAATGAAAAGATCGAAACTTTGTATGATTTTATCGGAGAAATGCAATATTCTAGTAGTAATGATAATAAAGAAAAAACTTTCAAATAATAAGATTTTTCAGCCACACATCAAATGAAACTGCCAGAGTTTGCGACACAATATTTTCTTGAAGACATATCTCATCAAGAAATTACTCTGAAAAACAAATCTGTTTGAACTACCTAGTATCGATTGTGTTACAAATTTCACATTAAGAAAATAAAATTCAAATTTTCACGTTTGATTTTATATACAAAAACGACTGTAAGTAGAAGAAGTCGAATTATAATAAGTTTGCTATCGTATTTCAGAAAAACTTTGACGAATGCATGATTCAAGTAAAAGGATTTTTGTTTTGTTTTGATTAAACCAATCCTTTCATTGCTTGTTTCGTAAGTTGTAATTTTTCTTTTATGTTTTACTAAGCTATTCAATCTATTTTATTAATACGGTGCGAAACAGAGCATTTTTGTTGTCAATCATGTACGCCTATCGGCATCTATACTTTGCCTATTTCTCATTGCAACTAAATCTGTACTTTGCATCATGATGTTTTAGAAAAGGGCGAGTCTCTAGAAATTTGTTCGAACTATATCAAGGAGATCCATGTCTCGAGATGATACCAACGGTTTTGACTTATCAACCTGAGTTTCCGTTCATATTCAGTAAATTGTGCTGAACTGTGATTTTGATGATTTAGCCTTCATCTTTATTTAACTCGAGATAATTAAAATAAGTGTTCTAATCTTCAGTCAGCTGTTGAGAGTGAGAGAATCAAATCGCATTGTCGAAAATTGACATTACTTTGCACTGAATCTAATTTATGCATTGAAGAAAGTAATAGCTTTGCAGGAAATCTTGTTCTGTGCAATATTCTTATACAGGGTGTTCTATTAATATATTTACGAAAAAAATTAAAGTATCTTCGCTTCAGTTCGATCAAATGGGCTGATGTTTTTGTCAGTAGTAGATGGTGTGCAAAAGGTTTCAACCGTGCATTTAGTTGTTGGACACAAATTTCAGCATCTTAAACTAACTAGATTTGAAAATTTGACTTATGCGTATCGTTCAGTATTATTAATATTTAATAGAAGTGTTTACTTATCTTATCATTTTGAAACAAAATTTTGAATGAACTCTTACCACTGACCAAAAAATCAGACTTTTTGATCGAACCGAAGCGAAGACATTTCAATTTTTTATCGTAAAGATACTTATGGGATATTCAATATTTGAAATCAAGACCGATTATATTTCGTAAGCTTTTTACCTTCATTACACTATAGTATGCTGTAGATCCATTTTTATGTATTGTAAAATATTTTGAATAAAAAAAATAAAAATAATGCTCGTAATTAATAATGACATTGAATCATGTTATATTTCGAAATATTGATTTGTCAATGATGTATTTGAAAATTGGTAAATATATATATGTAGTTTACTAAGAAATATTGAATATCGAAAGTTAAAAGAAATGTTTACTGTATATATATATATGGCACAGGTGGATGGTGGCCGAATAAGTTTCGATAGAAACAAGATAGAGTTGTGTAGTGTTCACTGTTCAAAAGATGTTATGACTGTGAGTGCGATGCGAAGAGAATAAATACATATACATCCACATCCGAAAACTTTTTACAGAAAATTGAAAGAAAAGAAAAACAAATATGAATGTCAAAGAAAAAAAATGTAGAATACCGATAAATTGAATCATCGCGGCTTTCTCACTCTCTTTCCGTAGGTTATTACGGCAAGATCTATCAATTGATATGAAATTCGAAATGAACTGTTATCGTTGGGAAAGAGCACTAGGTGATGGTCGTCATGGAAGTTCACTACTAGTATGTAAAATGAATTATATCGTTATATAAAGAAAGTCAAGGAATAATTTCTTTCTCATATTTTTATACACCATGGAATCGAGAACTGAAAAAAATTTAGTCTTTCATATAGATCGGCTAAATGTATAAGCGAATGAATGGAATATTTTCCATCACAACACTATAATCAACTCTTTTTGAGAGCATTAAACATGGCTAAATCTCGATCAGCTCAATCATGTGATATACAATACGGAAGATATTGAATGATCTAGTTTTATGAGTCAAACATTTTTGAAAAAGAAAAATGATGAAAAAGATAAGATAAAATAAAATTTTATGAGAGAATACAAATGATTTTGTTCATTACAGCTGTAAAAACAGTTGACCATAAATAATAAATCATATAAGTAATTAAGCAATGATAAATTGATAGGATTCTTTAGAAAAATGTTTTTACGTGTTGATGGAGTTTTTGCAAAAATGAATTTTTGTCATGACTGTATCTCAATTCCTTTTCTATTTCGATTAGTGATTCGATCAAACCATAGACAATCCGAATTTCAGGAATTCATTGTTATCGAACGTAAATGTCTCACAGGAAAAGTGTTGTGAGAATAATCGTAGACACGATTATCCTTTTTTTTTTATCAGATATTTATTTTTTCGGCGATAGACATCCGTAGTTTTGGACCGCATTTCGTAATCGAGTGAAAATCGAATATCATATGGTTATATTATAAACGCTTTAAGACAACTTGAATTTAAAACAGTTTGAATAAAAGACATTAATCTTCAATCAGCTTGGAAACTTTTTATGTTAGTCATTTTTTCTATTCTAAATTATTTACTTATTATTTAATGAATATAAACTATAGAACATTAACGAAAGCACTGACTTCAAGATACATGTTTACAGAAATAATTCTAGAAGAATACTCGAACAAGTCTTCTTCTATCTGTATACCACACATATTTGATTGAGTATTACTAGAAGAGACTTTATACTGATGATGTGTGAATAGGAGTGAATTTCGAAATTTTGATTTATCAACAAAATCAAGGAGACTATTTAATCAAAGAAAGAAATGCGATGAAACTTTGCTCTAATCTTCCACTAGAGATAAAAACAGAACATATCTAACTTTCATTTGGCTTTGATTCTTTACAGAGATTTTTTTTCCTGAATAAGTTCTTTTAGCATAGACATTTGTAACAATATTTGCTCTTTGACCTGACTATTAATTAAAAAGCTATTAGCGAATATCTCTCTAATCATAAGAAAAAAAGCTTGAAAACTGTCGGATCGATTTGATGGCATGAACAGCATATATGTTGACGTTTTCAGCCAGATCAGACTTCAAAACACTTTCTTATAAAGAACCGATTTTCTAGAGGTTCTATCAAGTCCTGAAACAAAAATTGTTGTCTTATCATTTTCTAAAGATTTGAAAGAAGAAAGCTCTAGAAAAATTCATTATTTCGAGATTGTATGATATGAGAGAAAACAACGAGAAGATGTATATATAGTCGTAACAAGTATCCTACTGAAAACTAATACAGTACACGGGTACTTAAAATAATCTGTAAGATACCTGATTGGAGGTTCCATGAAAGGTGCTCCCCGGACAGATGCTCCCGCGACAGTTGCTCCCCAGCGACATTTGCTCTCGAGGCCCAGATCAAGCCCAAATCAAAACCGAAACTCACTCTTTGTCTTGCCCTCTCCCACACCTACANAGCGCTGTCATGGAGAATCGGCTGTGGCTTACGTGGAATGGCTCATAAAAAAAGAAATATTATAGAAAAGAATCACGATTAAGCTTAGTTACTCGCTCGAGGATGAAAATAATTCGAAAGGCCTCGTGTAAAAATTTTTTTGTATATAATTATTTATTATTATTGTTTCTTTTCTTTTCTTTTTCTTCTTTTCTTGTATTTATCTTATATTTATGTATTAATTAAAATATAAAACAATTAAAAAAGAAAAAAATTATTTAATAAATAAAAAAAGGAAAAATTTTCTTGTAATAATTGTATTGACTTGCCCAAATTAAAGCTTTTGCTATTTTAACAGGAAAGTCGTTTTTTTTTCATTTATTTTCGAAGTTATGGGAAGCAGTTAGCTCTCTATTTATATTCGAACTCGAATTAGGCAACTCATGCAATATTTATCTACATCTAGTGACATCTGCTTAATAATTCATTATCTCTTTTAGTATTTTATTCATTGAAACATAAACAAATGTAAAATCTATTTTTAAAAAACACTTGTTTTAAGTGAATATGAAGTTTATTTTCCAATGGATTGACTTGAGCAATCAATGGAATATTTAATTTTCACCTCTTGATTACCATCATTGTCCTCAATAACACTTAGTTTGAATATTGTTTGCAACAATTATTTGGAAATTCTAACAAAGCCAAATGAGTACAGGTGCTGAGATAAGTGTAGCAGCAGCTAATGCTGGTGAATTAAATAAACCAAAACCTCGTTGGATGCCTTTAGAAGGAAATCCTGAAGTAAATTATTTCTTTGTTTATCGCATTAACGTATGAATTTCTTTTAGGTATTAAATAAATATCTAAAAAACTTAGGTGTAAAAAGCGATGATTATGAATTTGTTGAAATAATTGGATTTGATGAAGAACTTCTTGCTTTTGTTCCACAACCTGTCTCTGCTGTTCTGTTAATTTTTCCTATAACGGATGAAGTAAATTATTAAATTCTTCATCTTTATAATAATTTCAAATATTTTTTGTTTTAGCATGAAAAACATCGTGAAAAGGAATTTGAACAAGCAGCACATACACCACCGGATTATTCTCAAGCTATTTATTTTTTAAGACAAAGTGTTGGTAATGCATGTGGATCAATTGCAGTTATTCATTCAATTGCAAATAATCTTGAAAAATTTCAACTTGATTGTTTGTTCATCAAAGGAAAACAATATTATTATTGATTTTAAACTT